AGGGTCGGCAGGTGTGAGGTGGAGGGGGTCAATGGAGGGGGAAGGGAGAAATCTGTAATACTTTTAACAATAAAGATATAGTTAATAAATAAATAAATAAAATAAAAATGAACACTGGATTTGAAAAAACATTGCCATAAATTTTACTTTAACCACCACTATGCACTGGATCACCTTGTACACCATCAATATCTATTCCTACTGAGCAAACCCTGTGCTTATAACTAACTATAACCACTGAACCAGCCAGTATTAATTAAAATGACCAGCATCCTGACTGATATCTAAGTTGTCTGAGAGAGTCAATATGGAGCCCCGGGATGTTTAACTTATCAAATGGGAGTGAAATAAACTAGTACATAAATACTGTAAAAGTCTGCCTCATTTAATATCTTCTCTTAATGAATTCACAATTTGAAATTACTTTTACCTTATAATCCAAGAAAGAATTCACTTGTTCTACTTCAGAATTACTTATCATGTCACTTTCTTCATCATCAATAATTTCTATTTTCTGTAACACAGGTAGAGAAGTTTCCATGAATATAGCTTTATCATCATCACTACACTCAACAATGTATAGAGCATATACATTTAATGTTCAACTTTAGTTATGAGATTATCTAGTCTACAGTATCTGGAATAAACTTTGATAACTGACTGGTTCCTCAGTGTTGCACTCAGTGTGTGTCTAAGTCACCTCCTTTAATTGATTACTGCTTAGTAAATAGAAAATTACTGAAGAGGAGATAATGGGAGCATGTATAATAGTGTCAACAAGAAATAAATAAAGTAAATTTAAAAAATAAAATTTTTGTTCTACTATTTTTAAGAAAACCTTTCACACTATCCCAGAAAAAAATAGGCATTCAAATCCTGCTTAAATAGCACCTTCCTGTGACAAGGAACTTGTTTCTTATAAGGGTAGTGTATTTAATGGTAACCATACCTAATTGGTTTAAAGCTTTCTTTTAAGTTCCCACACATCTCTGCAATTTCTGATGTAAAATGTCAACATAAGCCATGCATTCTGAAGTCAAATATAATTTTTTAAAAATTCATTTATTTACTGCACTACATTAGCTCATGGTTATTTGTTTCCTTCACTGGACAGTAAAAAGGAAGAGTGAGAGAGATGCTAAACTGCCCTTAGCTTTAGAGTTAGGGTACAGCATATTTTGTTCAGTATCTTGTACACAGAAAGTATTAATTAAATATCTGTCAAAAGAATAAGCAAAACAACTTAACACTGATGAAAAGAATGATCAATAAGCTCGAACCATGGGTGCAAGGCAAGTTTTCTAATCCTGGAACATTTTTGACAAAAGCAAAACCAAAAGATAAAATCAGCTCTAATTTTTACTTTTGCATATGAAAAACACAGTTAAGGAAAAACAATTTTAAACATTTAAACCCAGCTAACCCAAAATAAATTTTTAAAAGAGAAAAGCTAAAGCTATAGATAGTCACTAGGCAGTCTTAAGAACAAGCGCATTAATAGCAACATCATAGGCAGAATTTGAAATCAAGCTTCCTACCCAGCAAATAAAAGCCACAAACAATCTTGAAAGTATTATATTTGACATATTCTCTATGGGAGTACAACACCATAACAGGGTTCGTGACCTGCAGGCTTCTGAGCCAGGAGGACAGCTGCAGTGAAATTGCTTTCTACCGCTGCTTGGAGATGAATCTAATGTTTTGTTTTCTATTATAATCACTATAAACTTTGGACTTAATCATGTCAGCTCTCACCATACCTCAGATTTGATACTTTTTTGCTGTTGTTTTTTAGATTCTCAATATATTTTGATTGGTTCTGAGATAACCTAGCTAAGTAATCCAGAGAGGAAGGCACCAAAGGCCACTGTATAGATTTTGCATATAAATTGGTCTTACATGTCTTTGTGATTTATTATCTATGAATAATTGGGGAAATTCAAAAGTTACAGGCAGAAAAGATCAACCTTTGAAATTTTGGACTTTTGTCTCTGAAAATTAGTTGTTCTTGAAAAATTAAGTGCCTAAGTGACTGTGAGTCATCCCATGACATGAATTCATTATCTTCAAATGTCGGCTGCAGGGGATACCCAGTGCAGAGAAATTCAGGCTAAAATGAGCATGTTTTTAGGGGAAAAGAGGTTCTAATTTGCAAGCAATCATATGTAACTTGTATAATGTAACTCAGATCTGGAGCAGAGAAGATTATTACTTGGTGGGATTTAAGAATACTAGCACAATTAGTAATTGTGGAAAACATTTATTACTAGCTATATAATGAAAACATTACTTTGCCTCAAAATAAAAACTTGTTTTCCTATGTACCCATTGAATGTAGTGTTAGAAGGGTCAAGCATCAACTTAAATCAAGACTAAAGTCAATAAAATGCAATCCTAAACAATATTGTTCATGTAGAAAACACTGTTATATATTGTTGATGTTTAACAAAAAAGAACAAAATTGTATTTTATGTGCTTAACTTTTATTAAGGAGATGTGGTAGGATTATAGTGTCTAATAAATGTTTGTAATGAAAGCCAAGGTAAATCTTAAAGTTACAGCAATTTTGTAAGAGAAAAATCCATTATAGGGACCATTTTATTCACACATAGGATGTTTGTTCATAGGAAGGCCACAGATTTTGTGCCCTTGTCACGACCCCAAATTCCTGTTGGATGTGTTATAAACCAAGGAACCATTTCTTTAGCCCCCCTGCTCTGAGCATGCCCCATAGAGAACATTCTTTAAAAGTTGCAATTAAGCACAAAACACTGATTCAAATGCAAAAATAAAGCACAATGACATTTGCCTTTATGTCTGACTTTAATACCACCTCCATATCTGTATTACTTGATAAAGTCAGAATATAAACAGATGTTGCTAAAACAGCTGCTTAGAGGACATTTCTACATACCAATAATGTTTATATTTTTACAAAGCCCAGTTTAATTGACACATAGCCTGTCTCTGCCTGCTATTCAATTGGTTAATACTGTCTTTCCTCTATTGCTGCAATTTTTAAGATACCTAACAGAGTCCAATTAACCAGAAAGAAAAAAAGGTTCCAAACACACTATGTAAGAGGTATATTCTGAACAGAGACCTTGGAGTAAGGAATCCTTGGATACAAGTCCCAGAACTAGCAAAGGGCTCCTTCATAATCTCAGGCTAAATTTGGTTTTAATTTTGCCATCTGTGAAATGAAATCTGCTCTTTGCTAAATGTGTTAAGGAAAATAACTTGTTATGTATAAAATATCCTATGTGTAGTAAACTGGTTTTTAAATTTGCAAATCTCTTAAACCAAAAAAATCTGAGATTAAATTGACAGTGCTTTAACTTTCATTTATTAAACTGTCAAAGATATATAATTCATTGGTAACAGTTCAGTTTTAGCTTGTGAAGTCGAGCAAGACTATTCTGACAACACTAATATTGTCACCAACTGGAAGCATAACCTTAAAATTCATCATGGAATGAGGAAAGAATTTCAAAATATACATACCACATTATCTTCGGATACTTCATGGTGGTTCTCCTCCTTATCCACCCTTGTCTTATTAGGAACAGCTTCATTGGACTCTTCTATAGAAAAAAAGGCCATGATTTCATTTTACACTCCTCAAAACTTTATTGAGAATGCTTTATTCAAGATCAATGAAATAATTTATTTTAAAAAGACACAAATGGCAAATTTACTTTGTATATGCTTTGTTGAGCAATTCTACTTCTAAAATGTGTTATGAGGAAATAAATATGGATAGGTAAAAATAAAAAGATGGTCACCATTGTGCTATTTATTACTGAAAAAATAGAAGCAACCTATATACTTAACAATGGGGGGTTGGAGAAATCATTTAGGGCCTATCCCTACAATAAATGCTATGAAACTACTAAAAATGAAGTAGTACAATAGTTGATAATAAAGAAAATATTCATGATATATTGAAAAGTGAATAAATGAAGGTGACAAAACCTACTATGTAGGTATACTAAAATATCTGCACATATTCACAGAGAAAAAAATAAAACTATTTACATCAAAACATTGCCATTATTATTTATGGATGAAATTACAGGCACTTTTTTCCCCCTTTTGTCTAATTTTACTTTTTTCAAGAATTCTTGTTTTTTTCCATTTGCTCATTCATAGTTAAATATTTTCAAAATGAACATACATTACTCATTGTATTAAGAGAAAAGTGATAATTTTCAAATACATGATATGATATAAAGCTATAAATATAGTATGTTTCCAATTTTATAAAAAGGCATGTGTTTGTGAATGCAGGCACACACACACCTGTATATATGCAAAGAGAAAACACTGTCAAAAACATGTTCCCACCCCTATTTTAAGAATGGTTATCACTGAGGGGTAGGATTATTTCCAAAATTCTCATTGTATTTTTCAACGTTTTCTATAATGAACACAGAGAAACCAGTTTACTAAAAAGCTCTCTGTTCTGAGGTAGGGGAAGTGGCTAGTTCGTAGCACAGGATATCTACAATAACCACCTGTTTTAGATTACCTCTACCTGTACTTCTTAGGAAAACAGGTAGAGGGCAGCAATATTTCTCTGTTCTTTCTGCACAGCCATATAATGGAGATTACTTACATAAATACTAGTGGAAGTTTCTAGTCCTTTAGTGACCGACATTTTATTTCACCATATAAAGCAGAACAAAAATATTTATCAGCCCTCAACATTTTTCCAAATCCATTCCTTTCCATGGAAAGACAAATAGATGTGTTCTGTATGAACATGGGGATGATTAGGAGGAAAACATGGTTGATCTAGGAACTCACACATGAATACATAGATAATTAGACTTTAAGTATTCAGAAAATTTTACCAGTTTTAATGCAAAGTTCAAAATTATTTTTTCTGAAAGAATGGTTCCTAGACAGAGGAAACTATTATCTATTTTTTATTTAGAGATTTCAAATCACAGGCATTTCAATTCCTATGTAATCCGCAACTAAATGAAATGAAGGGAGGGAAAATTGTTATCAAATTTAGTTTCATAGCTGGTATTAGTACTGATACACTCAGAATAGAGGTTATATTGTTCATTAACAAGATAATTACTGGAATCATTCTTTATTGGCTTGTTTTACATTTCTATTCTCACTTGCTCATAACTTTGTACAGAGTTCTGCTTTATCCGAAACATGTTCATTCATGGTTATTTTATAAGATGTAACAAAAACTGTTTTTAGGATTTCTGAAATAAAAAAGTGTGAAGTGATACAGCTGAATAGGACATGTTTTCTTTTACTTACAGATAGCTTCTACATTAGTGAAAGTTTGAAAGTTAAACACCGTCAATGTGCCTGGTTATTCCCCAAGAAAAACCATCCTTGCTAATTGGAAACTAAACAAGTGAGTGGAATATTAATCAGTGAAAACTCTAGAGGGCATTCTACATGGTGGCCATAGTAACTGTATGTAGTCATCTTTCATGTGCCCACCCACATAATAGATACAGCTGAAAAAAGGCTTTGTTGTAAAATTTAACGTTATAGATATTAAATTTTCCCATATTTAAACAATTTGCTTCTAAGAGTAGTAGAAATCTTTAAAATTGCTCAACCATAAATATATTTTGGTGAACACAGAAATTGAAATTAAGGAAATTGAGTCATCTATTACTTCTGTGGAGTTCACAGTTAAGTAAGGGATAAAGCCTGGAAGTTTTTTGTTTTGTTTTGTTTTTTAATCAATACCAACCACACATCCTTTTATGCTCTATTCAGGCAAAGGAAATGGGAGAAGTGAAGGTGAAGATAGCAGGTGGAAGTTAGAGGTGAATCAGAATCTCTGTATCAGAGAAGTACCTATTGTCTCAGAAGCAAAAGAATGGAATTGAAACTGCTGAAAGATAACAGCACTTTTTGGTTACTTTAGCAAACCTGTCATTTACTGTGTTTTAAAACTGATCTTTGTTTATGCTTATAGAATTTTTTTCTAGAAACTTTTTTTTAGATTCTCACCAGAGGATCATGTGTATTGATTTTTTTTATTTTTAGTTTTTGAGAGAGAGCAGGAGCTCAACATCTATGTGAGAGAGAAACATCCATCAATTGCTTCCTGTACATGTCCTGACCAGGTATCGAACCCACAACCAAGGTATGTGACCTGACTGGGAATCAAGCCCACAGCTCTTTCGGTATACGGAATGACATTCCAACCAACTAAGCAGCCCACCTGGGGCTTTTAATGTGATTTTTAATTGATTTTAACATGTAAAATGTAAGACCTGATTTGAAGACATTTTTTTTTTTCTTTTTGAACATTCAGAGGACTATCAATAGCCATATTATAAAGGACCCTGAATTTTAAGTTGTTCTGTTTTTGAAATAGTATGGTCATCTACTCATTCTGTCTCTCTATATCTACAATGCCATGAAGTTAAGGAAAATCTCAAAGTAAACAAATATTTAACTGCATTTTCATAACTGGAAGAATATATGGTTAGTATATTTTAAAGGTATAATATTAGTCTAGGCCAGATGATGCAATTCACTTAATCATCACAAAAAGATCACACAGTTGAATCACTCAGATTATTACTCTGCATCAGCAAAATGAGGAAGTGAATAAGACAGTATATATAAGGCTCTTTTCATTACTTGAAAATTATTTTATGATTTTCTGGTGCAATTTCTGATGAAAATGAAAAGCTTACCATGCAGCTGTAAAAAATAAGCCACTGAGAGGAATTCTAGGCAATATCACTTCCCATCAAGTGTTTTCTTGATTCATGCATTAATTTTCTTTTCTTTGTCGGATTAGATCTTGATTACTATGCCGGCTGTCTAGAGAACACACTATTAAATGACAAAGGATGCCAGTGTAGAAGCAGTGGTCCGTTAGAAAACTTAAAATTTGCTCACCTTTTTTTCCATTAACTCCTTATTTTTTAAAATTTCCTCTTAGGTGGGTAAATGAGAGTTGGGGAATGAAGCTCTCGTTAGAGGTTTATCTAATTTCCTTTTATCAGATTTATTTCCTCACAGCTCTCCCATCTACCCATAGAAACACACAGTCATTCTCTAAAATCTGTTTATGAATCACTGAAAATACTCAAGTATTCCCAGGCATATACAATTTAGTAAAGACTCCTATTAGACAAAAATGGTTTAATGAACCCACTAGATTAAAAATAAGGGGCTTGGAAATGATGCAATAGCTTCTCCTTTTTTTCCTGCTTCAGTTTCTTGTTACACTGAGTTTTCTGTTATGATCTTCATCAATGTCAATAACAAATGTTGGTAAGAAAGAAAATACATGGCCCTCTCAATTCTAACAGCTTTTTTGTCCCTTTCATTACCTAACCTACTGCAATCTGCCTCTCTTGCCCATGTGATTGCTTTTGAAAGAATATCTTAAACGCTCAATTAAATGGCTTCTCATTCTTTTATGTAAATTTTATTTTCCCTCTTGATTGAGGTATAATTGGTATACAAAAACTGCACAAATTAATGTATACAATTTGGTGAGTTTAAACATATGTATACACTTCTGTTACTATCACCACAATCCAGGTAATAAACATAACCATTGGCTTAAAAAAATTCTTGTGTTCCTTTTTTGGTGTTAAGAACACACCATGATTTACCCTCTTAAGTTTTTAAGTACACAACCCTTTATTGTTAACTATGTTGCTCAGCAGATCTCTGAAACTTACTCCTCTTAAATAACTGTACTTTATATTTCTTGAACAATAACTCCCCAGGTCCCTCTGCCCCAATTCCCTGGTACTATGATTCTATTGTCCACTTATATACCTTTGACCATTTTAAATACCTCATATGAGAGGAATTTCTACTCAATCTGTATGAGATCCTTGAGAGAATAATAACCCCTTTTCCTTCTGAAATCTCTCTCTTTCCTTGGTTTTATAAATAATATAATATCCTGATTATCCTGTATGTGAATGTTATTTCAATGGCACCCTTTTCTCCTCCAGGCCCAGTCCTTGTCTATCATCTTTTGTTTTCCATCTTCTCACTTAACTAAATTTTCTATATCTATGGTTAGACATTATTTTGGTCTCTGTGGGTGACTCCCAAATATCTTCTCATGTTTTAACTCCTCTTCTGAGTTCCATACCCACATTATTGAAGAGCATACTGTAAAGCTCCCCATGGATATCCTGCCATCATCTAAAACTCAACACATGCAAAAACAAATTTTGAATTCATCTTCACACATTATGCTATCCATTTAATACAGTGCCAATAAAAATCTTAAATGAATTATGGGGAGGGGGCTTGTGGAAAGCAATTCTAAAGTTCATCTAGAAGAATCAGTGTGCTACAAGAGCTAAGAATAATGAAAGCCCTACCAAATATTTACATATTTTATAAAGCCACAGTTATAAACAATCAGAGCAATATAACATAATAAGAAATCCAGAATTTGACACACATGGTATGTATGTATGCATATATGAAAGTGCATGTATATTTACATCAAATATTTGATAAAAAGCTATAGTTAAACTCACGGGAAAAATACTGAATTGTTTAATAATTAGTCTAAGCATATGAAAAAAATGCTCAACTTCTCTAGTCATCAGAGAGATGCAAATTAAAACCACAATGAGGTATCACTTCAGACCTGTCAGAATGGCTACTATCAACAAATCAACAAATAACAAGTGCTGGCAAGGGTGTGGAGAAAAGGGACCCCCTAGTACACTGCTGGTGGGAATGCAGACTGGTGCAGCCACTATTGAAAGCAGTATGGAGGTTCCTCAAAAGATTAAAAATTGACCTGCCATTTGACCCAGTGATCCCACTTCTAGGAATATATCNAATGCGGGGTGGAGAGAATCAATGGTGGTAAAAAAGGGACATCTGTAATATTTTCAACAGCAAAGTTAAAGAAAGTTAAAAAAATATTAGTCTAGGGGCAATTTGTTAACCATTTGGAAGAATAAAATTAAGTATTGTCTTCACACATCTTAAAGCAAAATGAATTCTAGTGTAATAAATATCAAGTTGTAAAAATGAAACCATAAGCATACAAGAAGTAACTCTACGGGTATGTTTACATAATTGCAGTACAAGGAAATAATTTGTAATTATAACACCAAAATCAGAAACCATAAAGGAAAGTATTGGTATATTTGACAATATAAAAATTAAAGGAAAACATTTCTGAGATCATGAAACTTTATAAGCAAATTTAAAAGGCAAAATAATAAACTGGAAGATACAGTATTAATATCCTATCAATACAAATGGGCCAGTGCAAGGTTCCCTGTCTCTCTATCACAGATACAAAAGACAAAATATTATATGATTCCATTTATATGAAGTTCCCAGAAAAGAAAAATTTATATAGTCAGAAAACAGAACAATTGTTGTCTGGATTTGGAGATGGAAGTGGGGAATTGACTGCAAATGGGTTAAAGAAAATTTTTTCAAGTCATGAAAATATTCTAAAATTGGATTTCAATGATGGTGATGGTTGCACAGCTCTATAAAATTTACTAAAAAGCACTGAATTCTACATTTACAAAGGATGAATTTTATTGTATGTAAATTAAACCTCAATATAAGTGTTCATTAAAAAATAAGGTGTAAGAAGAGAACTGTTTTTATGCTGACAACCAAATGAAAAATACTTCTCATGGAAAATAGTATAATTACATGTTATTATTTGAATTCTCATTTATGCTGAGAATTCTTTATTATAAAGATAATCTAGCCTAATTCCTATACTTTGCAGGTGAGGAAACTAAACCCAATGAATTAGATTCTTTGCCTGAAGTCACATTATCAGCTAGTGGAAGATTTAGTACAGGCACCCAGGTTGCCTGACTACTAGCTTGATGACTGTCACTTTATATCTTACTTTCATTACAGTGCATTTCTAATGCTCTAACCCAAACTGACTAGAATTCCAATAAAACAAAAAACCCCACATGTACTTAATTTTAATGTATGGATTATTGTAATAATCAACATTTCTAAATGTGAGAGATCATTTTAGTAGATGAACGTTCTTTGTTGTGATGAATTATGTGTGAGACCATTTAGTTGGAGTCATTAAAAATAAAAAAGATAAAAGACAAGTGTTGGTGCTGATATGGAGAAAAGGGAACACTTGTACACTGTTGGTGGGAGTGTATATTTGTGCAACCATTATGAAAAACAGTATGGAGATTTCTCAAAACATTAAAAATAGAACTAAGATATGACCCAGCAATCCATCCTCTGGGCATATAACCAAAGGATATTAAATCAATACCTCAAAAAGGTATTTGCACTTCTATGTTCATTGCAGCATTATTTACAATAGCCAAGATATGAAAATAACCTGTGTCTGTTGACAGATGAATAAAGAAATTGTGACATACATATATATAATGGAATATTATTCAGCTTTTAAAAAAAGAGATCCTGTCATTTGTGAAGACATGGATGAAACTGGAGGACATTATGCTAACTGAAATAAACCAGGCACAGAAGGAAAAGTACTGCATGATCACACTTATATGTGGAATTTTAAAAAGTCAAATACATAGAAGCAGAGAGTAGGATAGTAGTTACTAGGGTGGGGAGGTGAGGAAAATGGGGAAATAGTTGTTAAAGGGTATAATGTTGCAATTACATAGGATGAATAAGTTTAGAGATTTAAAGTACAACATAATGATTATAGTTAGCAATGCTATACTTATCATTGAAAAATAGAATTACAATAAATCCATTTCTGTTAAAATGTTTGACAAAATGTTTTGAGAACTTTAGATTTGCAGTCCAGTAAGCTGAAAAGAAAGTAAAAATGCATCAAATTTACAAAAGTTAGTATTAGGATGTGCAGCATACCTTGAGAGCTTCCTTCAGACAAACAGATGGATACCTCATCATTTCTGTCATTATCTTCTTCTCCTTCAGGACCAGCTTCCTCTCCTGTTGTGAGTGCAGACAAAGAACCAGACTCTGGCTGCTCAGAAAAATCAGCAGGGCCTCCCCTTGGAGGTGGAACTTCAATCCCCATTAAACGATATTTCCTTCTTCGATTCCCAATCCAAGTCTTTATAAGAGAAATATAAGAGGAAGCTTTGTAAACATAAAAACCTTAGCAGTTCTGGTCATTAAAATATGGACTGGATGATGCATAAAATATTAGAAAGAATAAATAGGCACCTGGAATAATCAAATTTTGTTATTACTCAATAAGTTTAAATAAAATAATTGATTTCATTTTTACATATCTTATTAGCAGAAAGACAATATTTATTTAAGTATTCAGACTTTCAAAAAACATGCAGTCCACTGTAGAATGCCTTTTTATTTTGTTTGCTTTTTTTTCTGTAGAAAATAGTCCACCAAATCTTTCAAAAGGAACAAGAATTGGTTCTTTTTCTAAAGGGATCAGGCAAACAGTTAAAATTGTAATTCATTTCCCATTTTGACTCTTGCTTTTTGTAGGTGAAAATGTGCTTTCCATTAACTTTGGCTCCATTATGGTTACCCGGGTATTTCAGGTATTCTAAATTTTAATTTTGTTGGATATAGAACCATTTTTAAAATTTTTTACATTAAAATAAGTTTAAAGTCACAGGAAGTTGCAAAGATAGGTCTCCTTCATTCAGTTGCCTCCAAATTAAACCACAATAACAAAAACAGGAAACATATTATAAAATATGTGTATACACTTTCATGTTCCTTTATCACACTGTTCTTCTTCCTCTCCTTCCCACAATTTCCAACACCTGGCAACCAGTAATCTGTGTAATTTCGAGGATGTTATATAAATGGAGTCATATAGCATGTGACTTTTTAAAATTAGCTTTTTTTTTTTTTTTTACTCAGCATAATTTCATGGAGATTTATTAAAGTTGCACGTACCAAGAGTCTGTTCCTTTTTTATTGCTAAGTGGTATTCCAAAATACTTACATACCATTTTTTCCTGTGGTTTTGTTTGTTTGTTTGTTTGTTTTTTTCCCCCCAATGATTGTTTGGCCGTTCACTCAATGAAGGACACAGGTTGGTCACAATTTTTGTCTATTACATATTAAGTTTCTATGAATAGTCATGTATAGGATTTTATGCAGATATGTTTTCATTTGTTCAGGATAAATGTTCAAAAATGCAATTGTTGGGCCATATGATAGTTATATGTTCAGCTTTATAACGAAACGAAACTGCAGAATTGTTTCCAGAGCAGTCGTACCATTTTACATTCTTACCAACAATATATGAGAGATTCAGTTTCTTGGCATTCTTGCCAGCATTTGGATAGTCAGTATTCTTGAAAACTTTATTTTAGTTGTTCTCATTGGGGCATGCAGTGATCAAAGATCGAGCTCTTAATTTGATTTCTCCAATGGCTAGTGATAGTGAAAATCTTTTCATGTGCTTATCTACCATCCATATATCCTCTTTAATGAAATGTTTATGTCTTTTGCCTATTTACTGTCTACGTATGAGTTATTTGTCAAATATGTGGTTCGCAAACATTTTTTCCCATTCTGTGCTTGTATTTTTGTTATGAACTTTGCAACTCCAAAATTTTTAATTTTGATGAAGACAAAGTTATTGTATTTTTGTTTTTTTATGGACTGTGCTTCTAGTGCCATTTCTAAGAATTCTTCATCAAGCTTTAGGTCCCAAAGAATTTCCCCTTATATTTTCTCAAAGTTAATAGTTTTATTTTTTACATTTAAATCTATGATCCATTTTGAATTCATTTTTTTGTATAAGGTGTGAGATACATATAGGTCTAGGTTCATTTATGTTTTCCTATAGATATCTAATTGTTCCCGTATGATTTCTTAACAAGACTTCCTTCATTGAATTGCTTTTGCACCTTTGTCTAAAATCACCTTAAGCCCTGGCCAGTGTGGCTCTGTGGTTGGAACATCCTCCTGTGCACCGAAGGGCCATGGGTTCAATTCTTGGTCAGGGCACATAATTGGGTTGTGGGTTTGATCCCAGATTGGGGTGCATGCAGGAGGCAACCAATTGATGTTTCTCTCTCTCTCTCTTTCCCTCTCC